CGTTGTTGGGCGTCTACGTCTTCACCGACCGGCCGCCTCGTCCGCCGCCGACTGGTGCTTCCGCCTGCACGGCTGGCCTTTATACCGCCGTTGTTGGGCGTCTACGTCTTCACCGACCGGCCGCCTCATCTGCCGCTGACTGGTGTCACCGCCTGCACGGCTGGCCTGTTATAACGCCAACTGATGCTATCTTCTTCACGGCTGGCTACATCGCTGTCACTACTAATAGGCATCAGTATCTTCAACACAAGCTGCCTACGTTTGCCATGGCTGCCGACTGGTTTCTTCACTTCCATGGCTGCATGATTCTGCTAGTGTTGATTGGCCTTACCATCTTCATCGCCGGTCGTCTCGTCTGCTGCTGACTAGTGCCCTCGCCTCTACATCTGGTTTATACAGCTACCACTACTGATGGACATCATCGTCTTCCGCCGCCGACTCGTGTTATGCCGCCGCCGACTGGTGCTTTTATCTTCACAACTGCGCGTCTTCACTACCGGTTCACTTCATCACGGCAACACAACTTTGTCATTATGGTGGAGCGACTTCATCTTTATTATCTTCGGCACCGGCAAACTCTATTGCTGCTACTTCGCAAGTTTTACTACTTCACCAACCACGACGTCTTTGTGAACCTCGACATCTCGGCATGCAATGCCATGATATTTTACTACAACAAGTGACTCTCCAATATTCAGGATTTCTACTTGGACACCTTCAACACATATCTTCAATCAAGCAATGACTACTCGACGACAAGAAGCTATAATTCTCGACTCTATGTTCAGTTGTTTCTCAACTAACCAAAGAGTCGGGGGCTACACAAATATAAGGCTCAAAATTTGACAAATTTTATGTCAAGCTGAAGAAATCAATTAATCAGCCAATGAGTCAACTCCAGGAGTCATTATCTTCATCTTTGCTTCGGAACAGACATTCTGCTTCAACAACTTCAAATATTTCGGTTTAGACGAGTTGGGCAACAACATCAACTCTCCTCCAATTATTTGTCTTCACGGTTGGCCTACTACGCAACTGCCGATAGAGGATCTCATCGTTATCATCGGCTGCTACATCGCTATTGACTGGATCACCGACATCGTCATCTTCATCAACATCTTGTCAAGCCTCATCAACATAGCCTACTCTGCTGCCGTTGATGGGAAACTTCGTCATCATAGTCGGCTATCTCTGTTGCCGCTAATCATCATTACCGTCGGATGCGTTTGTCGCCGCCGATTATTTTCTTCATCTTCATGATTGGTGGATTTCGCCATCACCGTTGATGCGCGTCTACGTCTTCATCGTCGGTTTGCTTTTGTCACCACCGACTGTTCTTTCGTTGTTGTTGGGCGCCTACATCCTCACTGCTAGCTGACCTGACTGTTGCCGACTGGTTTCTTCGCCTCCATGGTTATGCAACTTCATTACATTTGATTGGTGGCATCTTTACTACCACTGACATCTTCCGTTACTTCTGATGAGCAATTTCGTCTTCATGTTGGTCATTTCATCTCCATGCCGACTGCGTCAGCTATTGCCAATAGACAATTTTGACTATGACAGAAGGACAAGCTATATGCTCAGGGGCTCATCAACTCAAGCGTGAGGATTATATCTCCAATTTGGACTTGTTCCGGATACATTCCACATGGATTCATAGTCATGAGTCTATTTTCTATGCTCAAAGACTGGACCAATTATTATTCCCCGTAAGGGCTATCAACCGAATACTTGCGCCAGTCGGGATTCAATTATTATATATATTTTGGAGTATCTCATAAGGGATAATCACTCAGATCAGAAGCTATTCATATGAGCTACACCTGGTCTATATCACCCGGAAGATTTATTACTCGAGAGCATGTTACATGCGTCATCCTTTAAAGGGTGTCGAAGGCATATTTTTTGGTCTAGGCCTAATATGTCTGCAGCCCATATTTTCAGGTGTGGCCTGTCACGTTCTTTTAGGGACTTAGGCACTTTTTGCTTAGGCCAAAGTGCGCGTGATCAAGTGCCCAATACCTTAAAATCCTTTTATACCGCAGTTACTCAACTTTTTAGGAGTTGGTACAATGCATCTTAAAAGGTGTCAAACAGTAAAGCTTTATATAGCTGCCCCGCTGACTTTTTAATATAGTCATGGTGCTGTTTGGGTTTTTAAGCAATTGATTGGATACAATATCGTTGCTTTTTGCCACGTAAGTGTGCATTTTTATTGACCAATATTATGGCTTAGGCTGATTATATATTGTGGTCATTTTTCAGGCGGTTGGTAAATCCTTTATGAGTTTATTTACTCGGATTTTATACCACATATGCCATATATTTCCAGGTGTGGTGGAACCATGTGTCTTCTAGGGACTTAAGCACATCTGTTAAAGCAGTATGCGCATGGCGTATGCCCAATACTTTGGAAATTTCTTTATTCACAACATACAAGCTTTTTTATAGCTGTTTTGCTATGTGAATTTTCAATAATGTAGCCAACTTTAGGTTACACTCATCATGTTTTACAAAGCAGTCGGTATATCACTCGGATCATGTTATTCAGGGATTTACACCGCATATGCTACATATTTATATCAAGTCGCTTGGTTAACTATAATTATCGAAGCCACTCGGTTGGTTGGATTATTTATTCCTTGACTATATGCTTGGTTTGTTCACTTAACCGCATAGTCGAGGGCTACACCTATTAGGTGCATCTAGTCGATGCACCTGACTTTATTTTTCAGCCCTCCACAGTCTTCAGATTTGGTAAAAGTACTCGGGAGACCATGGCAAAGATGATTGAAGTACTCGGCTTTGGAATAATCTAGTTCGGGAGAAGATTATCTTTTTGACTGTGAAGGTCTCAGGGGCTACTGTGGAGATTATGGGTACCCCATACCCACACGGCATGGTTATCCGACTAGTAATAGGGGATAACATATATGTATGGAATATGTAACAGATCATGACTTGGGTATTACGTTTCCTTTTATATTATGGAGCGGCCTAAAGTCCTGATTTGATAATATTGTAAAGTAGATTTAGGAAGCCGATACCGTGTTGGTTAAGGTTTCTATCTTGTAATCCTGCCCCCCATCCTATATAAGGTGGGCAGGAGGCCCTCTAGGGGGCATGAGCACATATGATCGTTAGATCTATACTACACCCGGCGGATTCAAATCCCCAAACAGGAGTAGGGTATTACCTCTCATTGAGAGGGCCTGAACCTGTCTAAATCCTTTGTCTCCACATCCATCCACTTTTAGGTCTCGTGCGCTACCCCGTTTTATTATTGCCGAAATCATGTTTCGACAGAATTAATCATCATCGGTTTGTAACTTTTTAATTCACACACGATCTCTAATTTTGCACTTAATCAAGCATGCAACTCAAACAATTGAGCATACAAGAAGTCTCTGTCGAAAATGCAGTCACTTGTTAAAAGAAACTATGTGCCTTGAAATGTTCAGAGGGGTAAAAATTAATTGACGGGAATCGAATCCTACCTGGAGACACGTATGCCTTGCAATGAAATTAATCAAAAAAAATACGAAGTGTTATCGTTTATCTCTGAAGATCATGAAAGCGACAGAATTTATAACCATTAGTCAAGGTGAATTTGCTTGCTAATTACTTATCACCGGCCATATCTAACAGAAGTTGACATATCATAAAACATAATAAAAATATACATTAAAACATTATATAAATTATGTTGGATGATAATTTAACATGTTTGTATTTAAAAAGCTCTTAAATTATAAAAACTATAAAGATATAGCATATTTGTATGATGTTTAAATGTGATGATTGTTAGTGGATGATGATGTGGCATCTTGTTACTCCCTCCGTCCCATAAAAATTGCATTTCTAGCTCCAAGGTTTTGTCCCACAAAAATTGTATTTCTAGCCATGTGGGGCCCAACTAATTGATTCATCTATATAAGTTTCCTTCCATCCCACATAATTTGGGCTGCTAATGCTTGTAATTTTATTAAGTATGCTAATTATATGGGTTAATTCTCTCAAACTTCCTTTTAATCATTTGTATATATGGAATGTGTGCATGCAGTGCGTTTATTAAATAAGGTTATTGTGGTCATTTTCCAATCCTACTATTTTGTCCTAAATTAGCTAGAAATATAATTTTTATGGGACGGAGGTAGTAGTGGATGATGATGTGGCATCTTTACATGTTAAGCTTAAGGAGTTAGTAGGGGATAATTTTATAGGAAGATAGGATATCATTTTGCATGCATGCATGGCAATGTTCCCAGCATTTCACGCCAACTTCCCACACATTGCAAATGGGGGCTCACTTTATATATAGCAAATTAAAAGGCAAAATCAAGAAGAACTTAATTAATACCAAGGAATGACACGGCAGTGTGCAAATTAAGAAGAAGATAATTGCATCTCTGTGTTAACTAAAAGTAACTGTGAACAAGAGTAAATCTGCATGCTTAGGAAATCATCAAGGGGAAGATATAATGTAGTACTGGCTTGTACTCCATTAAGGGGAGTAGTAATTACAATTACAAGCATGGAATTAACACGAGGCAGAGCATATGCTATTGGAGTATCTATCAATATGGTTTGTTGTGGATGTGGATAAGACCCCAGTTATGCAAAACTGGTTCATCGCCTGTGTCCCAAATCAATTTAATAATTGATTAAACAGAGCAAATTTTAGCTTGCAGATAAGACGAACCATCTTGATTTGGAGTATCCATCAATATGGTTTGTTGTGGATGTGGATAAGACCCCAGTTATGCTAAACTGGTTCATCATATGTGTGTGCCAAATCAATTTAATAATTGATTAAACAGAGCAAATTTTAGCTTGCAGATAAGATGATACTTCTTGATTATGGAAACAGCTAACAACCCATCGTCTAGCTTATTAGAGAAATATAAACCAAAAATAACATATTTGCAAAATAAATAATTTATAAATAAAAAACTTCTATGTACTTTCTCGTAACGATCTAAAAGTAAACTTAAAACTAAATCAGGATGAGAATACCCTGTGACCAACTTTTAATTTGAAGTTGAAAATTTTAATTTTTACTATAAGCATAAATACAAGCGAAAAGATAGCCCGTGAGCTATAGCGTGCTGTTCACTCAGCCGCTACAGCTAACCTAAGGTAGTACTGTAAGGTGAGAGAGTATGGGCAATAAGCCAATAATGCATGCAGCTAGCAAGCATAGCATGACAAAAAGATGAGATAAAGCTAAGCTAAGCTTAAAGCTAATAGTAATAGCTAAGGTTAGCTGAAACGTACGTGTTGCCGTGCATGCAGCTCGCCTGTGTGTCTCTGGTGCCCCCGTCGCCCTCGCTGCCCCCGACACGTCTCCCCCTCTCCACGCGTCGCCGTCGTCTTCCTCCTCCCCTCGCCGTGGTGGCTATATACACCGCCGCGGCGATCACCTTGCCTCCTTCTGTCTGTCGATCTGTCCGTCGTCGACGACGTCTCGATCGATCGGTGGTGGTGGTGGTGGTGGCCATGAGTCTCGTTTGAGAGGTGAGCCGCCGGCCGGGCCATTGATGAGAGCGGCGGCGTCGTCCGGGCGACGCGATGTCCGTTGTGGCGGCTGCGGCGGCGGCGGTGGCGGTGGCGCCGCCGTCGTCGCCGTACGGGATGTGCGGCGGTGGTGGTGGGGGTGGTGGGGCGAGGAAGAGGAAGGACGTGGTGCAGCAGCTGGAGGATCTGGCTGGTGGGGTAGTGGGGGATGATGGCGGCGGCGGCGGCGGCGGCGGCGACGTCGTGCACGGGCTGTTCGTGCTGGAGACGGTCGAGGAGAAGGCGGAGGAGGAGGAGGAGGAGCGGTCCTCCATTGGCGCCGACTCCGAGGATGAACAGGATGATGGTGAGGAGGAGGTGGAGAGCAAGGCGTCGTCGGCGGCGGTGGCGGCCGAGACGTGTCGGAGGAAGACGAAGACGAAGTGCGGCGGCGGCGGCGGTGGCGCGCTCGCCTGCCTCGACGCCCTCGACGACGCGCTCCCAATCAAGCAAGCATTGTTTCTTCGATCGAATTGGTCAATTAGCTAGCTGTATCTCTCGCGCTAATGGTGGATGGGTGCAGGAGGGGGCTGTCCAACTTCTTCTCCGGCAAGTCGAGGTCGTTCGCCAACCTGCAGGACGTGGCCGCCGCCGGCGCAACCACGGCGAGCCTCGCCAAGCCGGAGAACCCATTCAACAAGCGCCGCCGCATCCTCCGCTGCTCCTCCATCCGCCGCGTCTCCTCCACCTCCCTCACCGCGCTCCCGCCCTTCCTGCCGCCGCACCACCATCCACCGCCGCCCGACGACGGCGGCGGCGGCGGCGGCAATGGCTGAGGACAACGACGAGGAGGAGGAGGAGGAGGATGAAATGATGAAAAGAATCAAATTCAGTGAGGACAAATTAATTAAGCAGAGATGGATAATATGGATGGATCCCTTTTGTAATAGTTTGGGATCTCATCTCATCAAATCAACCATCAAAAATACCTTATATTAGTGCTTAGGTTTCTTGATTTCTTCTTCTCTTATATTAGCTGCATGCCAATCCTACCTATGAACAAACTCACTGTTAATTAGTTGCATAATTGCATTGACCAAGAGATGAGAGCATCATATCATGCACCAAATACACTTATGGAGAACTCCTATTGAACAATGTTTAATTCTTGGTGCATATATATGCCATGTATGTATCCTACTAATTCCTAACTAGCTAGTGCCTTTGATCTCATTGGGCTAACCTTCAATTTTGTTCAATAGCAATAACCTTCTGTCAATATAGCTGCAGGAGGCATGCAGAGATGAATTAATCAAGACCCAATTAGTCATCCCAATCTGTTCTTTGCACTTATCTCATCTGCATAATGCATATGCAATTGTTTCATGTATATAAGTACTCCTAGTTAGGGACCAACAACCACACTTGTAACCACCTTGTGTGCATCCATCCATGAATGAACAATACTATCATCAGCATGATGACTTCTTTTTTTTTTTTTCTGTTTTGCTAAAGATCAGAAGCAAAGCCAAACTGATTCTTCCTGCTGGTTGGTGCCCATATTGTACCTTATTAGGAGTAATTTAATCTCCATTTCATCATCTTATCTTTTCTTGGCCATCAGGGGAACACACTAGCTACTATACCTACACATCGGCCATACTGGGGACAGGACGTTCAGAGGGAGGCTTATCCAAAACGCCTTTACAAGACGTGGACGCCGCAACTGATCGTGATCGGTGACCAGGTTCAGCGGAGAGCTTATCTAGTATAGCGCTTAGTACTAATCGACCAGGTTTTGCTCAATAATTAGCATGGATTTGACGCGAAAACACTCAGAATTTCTTATGATTTTGGAAAAGAATTACTAATTCATCTTAAAATATAACAACTTTTAGTTATTACTGGATATACATTTATCTAGTTTTATAGCCAAAGATGTTTACTTCCTCTGTCTTATAAAAAAATCAAAGTAGTACTAGATATCTAGATTTAGGGCCCCTTTGAATCACAGGAATGAGAAAACATAGGAATAGGAAAAACGCAGGTTTTTGATAGGAATGTAAGTGTAAAATAGGTGATTGCAAAACACAGGAAAAACACAGGAATAGTCGTTTGATTGAACCGCAGGAAAAACGCAGGAATTAGAGGAGAGATAAAGACTTAAAGGAAAGTTTCCAAGAGGTTTTACCTCAGGTTAGAATTCCTCCAAAATTTGCATGGCATTAGGCAATCCATAGGAATTTCATAGGATTCCATAAGATCCATTCCTTTGATTCAAAGGGCTATATAGGAAAAATTCCTATAGGAAAGAAATCCTCTAAAATTCCTATGAATTTCCTTTGAATCAAAGGGTGCCTTATAGTGTTAGAATATGTTATATTCAATTCTAAATTCGTTTTTCGGACCGAGGAAGTATATTTTAGGATGAAATGCTTATATTTTAGGACTGAGTGAGGGGGTAATTAATTATCTAAGGCTGTGTTTAGTACAGCGCAAAGTTTGAATTTTGGTTGAAATTGGAGATGATGTGACTGAAAAGTTGTGTGTAAACACAGCCTAATTAAATTGGTGTAATTAGGAGGGTCAAAATGTGGTTGGTTGCGAAAGGGATGGGAAAGACAGGGTTGTGAAAAGTGAGGCGAGAGAGGATAAGCTTTGGAGAGGAGATAGATGGAGAGATAATGAGTGAGATCGAAACCAGGGTCACGTCGTTGGACCAGCGCAGCAGCAGTACATGATCTTATCCGTTTCGTTCACTGTCGGTTTAGCTCAAGCTGCAGCCGCTGAGTCATCAGATTATTTATTAGTAATTATTAAGCGAGCGATTGATTTGATTTAATTGGAGGTGTTAGTACGGGTTGGAACGCTGCTAATTGTCTCGGTATTCTGTCTTGGTTCGCGAGAGCGATCGGTAAGTCTCAGTCGGCACGGGTTGTGGTGAGGACGTTTTTCTCTTCCTTTTCTTTCGCCCTTCAGGCACAGGCAGGAGTGCGACCTGCTTGGCACAGCAGAAACGGCAACTTGTGAAGAAATGGTAAGGGCCAAGTTTAATAGTATAGTTAACTACTAGCTTCAATAACTATAATTAATCTAATAGCTTATTCATACAATAGTTATATACTACACTAATAATACATGGTCCCACCTGTTATACACACACTGCGTCTTGGAGTCCGTGCTATAGCGGGCTACAAACGCTGCTCTTCTCTCTCCTTATTTATCTTCTTAAAATATGTTTGCAGCTGGTTTATAGCCTGCTATTGTAACTGCTCTAAACGCGTAGCACTGTTTTCTGTTGGTAGATTCACTGGTTCTGATTCAGCCTTCGGAGGGAACTTGTGATATGATTTTTGTTCAGATCGGTAGATTCGTAATTTGATAGTAACACCAATTAAATGTTCAGATTGGTGCCAGAAGAGTAGACGACGAACAGTGAAATTATCAAGCAACACAACATAAATTGGACGTTGTCTAACGGCTGATAATCTGAGCAAACGCGCTATGCATGATCAGCAACGAAGACTCTGGGCATCTCTTTATTTCCTGCCCTTGCACTTCCAGTCTAGAGGATGATCAAGGGATGGACATGAATCGGCTTCCAACTGTGGGCAGAAGCGCGAATGGAATTGGGAGAATGGTGGCTCACGGCGCGGCAAGGGTTTCAGACCAGCTTACAGGGATGCATGCTTTCTACACTCTTGTGCTGCTTGTCTATTGGATGGTTTGGAAGAAGAGAAATATACGTGTTTTCCAAAGTCAGAGTCAAGCAGCGGGCATCCTCTTTACCTTGATTAAAGAGGAGGTCGTGGTCTGGAAAGAATATGGGGTTTCCAAATATTTAGGAGAGTAGCGCCTTGTTGTATCTTGTTTTCATTTTAGGAAGTTGCTCATATGGCAACATCCATTCACTTCATCATCTTATTGTCGAAGTTTGAACTCTGTAAATGTGTACATACCCCTTTTTTAAGTAAATTTGGTCTGTTTGTCTTAGACTGGCCCGACCAATAAATAGGTGGCTTGCTGGGCCGATGGGCCGACGGTACGCATCTTGGACCAGGAGTACCCAAGGAGCAACCGAGACTTCCCAAATTGAGTAGGCTTCACCTTGGACCGTAAACAGTTTAAGGCTATGTTTAAGAGAGAGCTTATACTTTCTATATACTATTGGTACCCACTAACTTCTAAAACTTAATACGCAAGTATGCCACATCATCACCCACTAGTAATTATTATATAGAGTATCTTAAATCTCATACAAATATGATATATTATTTATAATTTTACTGTTCTTTTAGAACTCAACATGTAAGCACTATCAAATAACCATCTCCACATCATTTTTACATTATTTAAACATATACATCTATCATTTATATAATATATCACATAAATTCATTCACATATCCCACAACAGAGCGCGGGGTATCAACTACTTTCTATAGAAATCTCCAACCCTTTGTCCAGACTTTTATATAGATTTTGAGAAATTATACTTATGTAATTAAAAACTAAATTAGAATCCAGAAACTATAAAATTATATTTCATATTCTCGCCCGTTAGCTTTTCACCACTTAGAATTAGAATTCTAAGCTCAGTTAAACAGGGAATAACCGTATAAAGATTTTGGTTTCGGTGGTAAAGATTAGCCATTGAGTATTTAGCTGGTGAGAATTCGAAGAACCTAGTTTCTGCATACTTAGTAGTTTATTTATGGATTCTATTGTTACTAAGTCTCAAAATCTAAAGCGATAATTTAGATTGTTCCAAAGGACTTGGACATTTTAAGAATTTTAAGAGACATTGATTTCTCAAAAAAAAAACAAAGCAATACAAAATAACTTATGAGTAAAAATATAGAAATATACTATATTGTGCATTTAAGAGAAAGGGAAATAAGAAGATTGAAAACATACATAAAACAAGATGAGTCATTAGCACATAATTAATTAATTATTAATTATTTTAAATTTTAAAAACAAATTAAAATAATTTTCTAAAACAACTTTTCTATAGAATATTTGTAAAAAAATACACCATCAAGCCATTCGGGATCGTGCATGCAAAAAAACGAGAGATTTCTTCTCCATATCCTCTCCAAACGAACACTCGCATGAATGAAAACCCCCAAACATACTCTAAATTTAAGGTTAAAAAATAAATTTTAGCTAAGGCTGATATATTAACAGGTAGACGATGAGATGCATGTATCCATTTTAGTTATCTCTATATTTTTTTGAAAAAGCTTGAAATAAAATAGACAACATACGATTTTGCATATTTTAATTATCTTTGAAAAGTGACACATAATAATGGTTAGTAGCCTTAGGTTGGATTGGAGAGACATGAGAAAACAAGAACATCGAACAGAGCCAAACCAAATTTCCATCTCTAAAAAAAAAAAACTCGAATTTAAAAATCAAATTTGACAACATCATAAATTCATAAACCAAATTTGACAACATTGCCACGCTAGCAGGTGACTCGCCTCCTCTCTCCGATTCCCACGCCTCTCGCGACTCGTGCGCCGGCGCCGGCGATGGCGATCGCGCAATCCGCGGCCGCGGTATCATCCGCCGCAAGAGCCTCCCGCCCAAGGCCGACCCGCGCCGCGCCGCGCCGCATCGCCGCCTCCGCCTCCTCCGTGGCGCCGCCGGAGCCCGCCGCGCGGCGCCTCGTGGCGGCGTTCGACCCGGCGGTCCCGCTGGCCTCCGCCGTGACGCCGCCGAGCGGGTGGTACACCGACCCGGACTTTCTCCGGCTCGAGCTCGACCGCGTCTTCCTCCGCGGGTGGCAGGCTGTTGGTATATACTCCCGATTTCGCACACTCCCAACCCCCCTCCTCCATTTGTTCTTAGTTTCCGCACGATTGGTTGGTTGCTAGTTGTGTGGTAGTACGATTGTACAAGCGCTGGCAGTGGAGATCGCTTCTAAACCATCGCTAATGGTGGATTTTACTTGAGCTGTATGCCATCAATGGATGACTTGTCTAGAGGGGAATATGTGTGATGTGAGTGAGACTGCGAGTGGGAGTGTGGAAGTTGAGAGCTCGCTTCTCACTTGCTTGAAATGGGGTGAGTTCAGGGGTTCAGGGCCCATGGCTAAACAGGATCAAGGGCTACCAACATCCTTAATGTTGACAGTGGTGTGACTTGTGTAGGTGTTTCAAAAGAGGGATTATCTGGATGGTGGACTTGCATTTGAGACTCCTTGTACAATTGTTGTCCATTAGTAGCTTTGCTCATTTCAATTTTATGTTGAGTTCCAACTTCCTAGGTTTAGTTCTTCATGGAGACACCTTGATTAGCTTTCTGATCCGTTTGTCGTTTATGCTTTTGTAGTAACTTCTCTTCACTGTCATTGCATCATCATCAGTGTATAATTCACTAACTTTTGTGGCCAGTTCAGAAAGAGTGTTGATAGTCACCTTTATCTTCTTACTGAAAGCTTGTTTTGTGCTTCCTTTCATGGTTGTTTTCCAGGCCACATATGGCAAGTCAAGAACCCAAATGACTACTTCACAGGAAGGTGATTTCATCCTTCTGTAGCCAGAATCTTGTAGTGGCTAATGCAAACCATGAAGTTTATTTTTATACGCATAAAGGTGTCGGTCTTATGACATTTCTATATAGCCATCCGCACAGAAAACACTTTAGTCATCATTACCCCCAAATTTCTGTAAAATAAAATCATTTACATTGGATATTCATGATTGTGATAATCTAACAAGTTGATGTAGTAGACTTGGAAATGTAGAATTTGTCATATGTCGGGATGCAAATGGAGAACTCCATGCTTTTCACAACGTGTGTCGCCATCACGCCTCACTCCTTGCATGTGGAAGTGGTCAGAAGACTTGCTTCCAGTGCCCTTATCATGTGAGTTCCTTACGAAACATTTCAATAGGTGGTATGTCCTCATTGTCCTGTGCAGTATTGGATGCTTCCACTATCGAGTGTTGAGGAAACAAATGTAACCAGTAACTTATCTTGAAATGTTGAATTTTGAAGGACAGAAGCCACATACTACTTAAAAATGCTAACTCGATAATGATGTATATGCCCACATGACTTGGGGATTAACATCTTGAACTCTAACATGTGCTCCGGTAGTTCGTCTCACACCTTTTAAGTACCTGGATACTTAAAAGTATGAACTAGGAATAATAAAAAAGAAGCATCACTGCATGCATACTTAACTAGTCTATTTGAATTATTGGGGGTGACAAAGCTTCTGCTTTGTTATTTCAGCAGACACAGGACTTGGTAATAGTATTATTACTTGCATAGTTGCTTATAGTTCTGCCCTCTCTTGAGACAGTAGTCCTACGATTTTGTAGGGCTGGACATATGGACTGGATGGAGTCCTCCTAAAAGCCACACAAATATCAGGAATCAAGAACTTCAACAAAAATGTAAGTCCCAACTTTTTTGAGGATCTTCTATACTTCCTGATTCCACTGCCAGAACTCATGCAGTTATGCTTCTTTCTGGAAACAGGATTTTGGTCTCATTCCTATTAAAGTGGCTACATGGGGGCCTTTTGTATTGGCCAAATTTGATAGTGGTTTCTCTCAAGAAACTGCTGATAACACAGTTGGAGATGAATGGCTGGGTAGTGCTTCGGATCTGCTGAGTAGAAATGGCATTGACACCTCGTTGCCTCATATTTGCAGGCGAGAATATATAATTGAATGTAATTGGAAGGTGCATTATCGATAAACTGTCATGATGATATTTCGATACAAAAAAACTGAAAAATGCAATAAGCTTCTTTTCAGTATATGCTTATACCCATCGGATCCTTCTCTTGCAGGTCTTTTGTGACAACTATCTGGATGGTGGCTATCATGTTCCATATGCGCATGGAACCCTAGCATCTGGTCTACAGCTTCAATCCTACGAAACACATGTATAGTTTGTAAACCCACTTTCTTTCTACTGTTTTTCACTTTTTCCTTTAGTAATAGTTGTTTAAGTATTGGTGACTTGGTGTCGAATAGATGGGTTTTACTAGATCATGTTCTGTTGGATTGTTCTTGTGTAGAAATAATCAGTTTCAATTTTTTTTATTACTTTTTAGGATCTTCACATCTGACACCAATTCCCACCACTGTTCTGATCTACTTTCTTATGACTATTTTGCTCTTTTGGGTGGATTGCTGATTAGCACGTATTTATCTTTTTGCAGACATATGAAAGAGTTAGTGTTCAAAGGTGTGAAAGTGTCCAAGCAGAACAAAATGATTTCGATCGCTTAGGGACAAAAGCTATCTATGCTTTTGTTTATCCAAACTTTATGATTAACAGGTGGCTCCATTATCCTCACGAACTGTTAGTCTGTTACTCTAGCTTCCTAACTGTATTTATCATGCATGCAAAATGTGAAAACTTCCTTGATTTTCAGGTATGGTCCATGGATGGACACTAATCTAGTGGTCCCATTGGATGCAACCAGATGTAAAGTGATATTTGATTATTTCCTTGACAAGTCTCTTATGGTAGAATCTAGTCCATATCTCATTTTTTCCTTTCAATACATATTATGCAGAGAACATATAATCTTATTGCCATCATATGGGGTTGGTAGTTTGAATTGCAAACATGAGTTCCTAATTGCTATATACCATGGTATTTCTTGCTTGTGTTTCGACTTGCATTGCGAACATACTATTTGGTACATCTTTCTAAACCAACTGTCTGCTTTTAACTTGTCAAACAACAAGAGTTAGTAACGTGTACTCATGTACCACTTTTAGTTAACCTGTTTTTGCTTAAGATTATAGTTCATCATAGGCGTACTAAATGGTTTAATGATCTGCAAACATAGTGATGTCTTTGGTTAGATGTTGCTGTTAGCTTCATAATTTACTCAAATTCCCCTCTGAAACAAGTAATGATTTGGTATGTTGCTGTGTGCTGTAATTGTGGTCAATGACTTAATCCACATTGAATATGCAGGACGACCAGAATTTTATTGAGAGCAGCTTAAAAGACAGCGAACAAGTACAGGTATATTACCATAAAACTGATGTTTGGTTGCAAGGTAGTTCAATCTATTGTTGGCAGTAATGACCAAGTTCATATTAAGGCAGACACATTCTTTAAACTTGTGACTACAGGTTCACAGCACTACATCAGTGTAAATTCCATGGTCTTCTAACAGCATTACCCTGATTAAGTTGCTTTCAGATGCACTTCATGCTTTTGTCTTATTAGAGCCATGTCTGAAGGCAGAAACATGATTGCTCTCTATGTCTGATGTTTATATGCTGACTTCTACATCTTTTATACACATCAGCCATGTTGACATCTCATAGATGCATGCTACAATACTATATTTTGTAGACATGCAATATCATAAGCCAGACAAACAAAGCAGAGACTGCACGGTGATAATTTCGCCAGTTGCTGTTGATATTTTAAGTTTATTCCCTGAACATTGTGCGCTCTATCTGCAGATGGAAGACATTGCACTTTGCGAAGGAGTTCAGCGGGGCCTGGAATCACCAGCCTACAGTGTGGGAAGATATGCACCATCAGTGGAGATGGCCATGCACCACTTCCACTGCCTCTTACATGCCAATCTTAGTGGTGACTGGTGAGTGATTTCTATGTGCATATCTGATTGGATTTATGCATCACAAAATTTATGTGCATATCTGCAGTATTTTCATTACTTGTACATTGTAAAGTGAAAACACATAGGAATGTAATCAAACTGGTTCTTCAGTCTTCACATTTTGTCGAAACTTATTTGTTGGCGACTTGGTCTTGAGATTTCTTTGGTTTCAGGCATTTGTTGCTTTGTAGTGGGGCTTGTTGGATGCTGCATGCAGATGGAAGCACCAGGCAGTAAATGTACTGATCTGGTCAACTTCCTCATTTCAGTCCATAGAAGGTTTCCAATCCAAATTGTGTGAAACATGAAGGCATGTAGACCAAGTAGTTTCCAAAATGCTTTCACAGTCTCAGCCAAATCGTACACCATTTGACCCCTCAAACAGACAAACTCATCAACTGTCAACACCTCTAACTGTTTCTACCTGGACTAAAAACGATCTCTCTCGAATTATCTGTTCCTTCGATCCAATCACATGAACCATACAAGAAGAACAGCAGCAAATCAAGATTATAGGGGCATGTTTAGCGTCAATATAACAAAACAACAATTGACTCTCCCAAGTCCCATCAAGTGCTGGACTGGTTGCTGATACCCTCTGAACTGGACTAGCCCCTCTGCTTCAGTCCCTTTTCTTTATCTCAGGAGTCTGGTTGTGTGTGTTTTGCTGCCTCTGTTTTTCTTTTCACTTACTCACAGTCACAGCATCAACCATGAAGCAAAAGAATATTTAATTGAAGCTGTTTGCAATGGTATAGTAATAGAGGCTATTCCTAAATCACAATGCTTTCATGGCACCACTCTTGCTGATCTTGGACTCAAAACTTCCATGTATAGTTCAGACGGATGGTGCATTTTGCTCTACTGACATAGGGAACTGTTCCATTAGGACGATGAGGGAAATCCACAATGAACTGCCTAAAACACAGAAATAACAGGCTTATGACTTATCTTGAATTTTAGGAGCAACTACATTGCATGATGCCTGCAAAATATTTCAAGGATTAATTACAATAGGAGTATATATTTCTTGCTTGCTGAAGACTCCCATTCTTCATCCAATCATCCAACATGTTTAGTTACACCACTGCCATACCTCTTCGTGAGGTGTGGCAGACGAATGAAGTTGTTGACTGCAATATCAACGGATCAAGTATTTACAATGGAGTATAAATGAAAAGAGACCGAAGGTAGATTTTTTTTTCTTATCTAGTTCATTTTAGAAAGTCTTTTTGAGATACTTCTTTTTGTTGACTTTCTGTTTTAGTTTGATCTTCCCCAATATATATTGTTTTCTGGAAACTTCTGATGAAAACCACATGTTTTGAATATAATGTGAAGAGAACCACAACAATTATTTATTGAAGTAATTGGCAGTTTGGTACACTTTACCTGCTTGAAAATCAGAGGATTCAAAAATATGGATGTTTGGTACATGCTGAACAATGTACCTGTCGCTTCCTTGGATCTTCACTATGAACTCCTTTGGCATATCTGTTATAATCATCTCATGGAGTGTCCTAATGTACCTTATGCCTTTCGGTACTTCATTTAGATTCCTTAAACCAACAAGATCTAACTCACGTAGGCACATCATTGATCCATCCTCAATCTCAATCCGGTTGAGATGTTCCATGTCAGCCAATTGCAATAAGTTGAGCTTAGGGAACCACTTTGCATGAAAATTTAACCGTTCCCCATCATATGCTCCGGTGAGCACCAGAACAACTAGATTTAGCATGTAAGAGAAGGATTCAATAGGATCCTTCTTCAGACCAGACCAGTCCAGTTTTAACTCTGTTATTTTCTCTAACTTGGCAAACATTGGTGGGAGCACACCCCCCTCTAATTTTCCTGCCAGCCAGAATACCTTAAGATTTGATAGGGCCTTTAGCATTTTTAAGTTAAGAGTCTCATCCATATCACAAGAGGAAATAAACAACCTGCTGAGGTTAGGCATCTTTGTCAAAGAGTTGCATAACTCTGCGATGTAGCTTTGTTGCACTTTCATTACACACAAACTTCTCATCCGCGTCAAGTTCCCCAGATGTGAAACCAAATCCTTATTTGCTGAAACGGTCTGTAAAGCTTGCAAGTTCTTTAGATGGCAAATATTGCCAGGAATTTTTGTGGCACTTATGCAATCCAATGATCTTTCTTGAAGATCATGGATTACATAGGCATATAAGTTCCGCAAATTAGTTAACAAAGTTATTTCCAACGGCAACTCTTCCACATAGCTGGACCTGATATCTAAAAACTGTAGGTTGATAAGGTTTTTGAATGATGCCGGTATATGTTTCACTTTTGTGTGCGATAAATCTAGATAATGTAAGTTATATAGTTCTGTGACCACACCTGGAACTTGTTCGATATTGGCAAATCTCAGGCACAGAACTCTTAGCAGTCTGAAACGTGATAAAGCATCATAAATCCAAGAAGATGGTTCTCCGATATCAAGCAGAACGAAAGATCGGAGTTTAGAACCTCCTAAATACCTGAGGGACTGAGCGTCCTTTTGGATCCATAAACGGCGGTATTCATGGGCAACTTGGGTTATACCAACATTGTCATATGAAAAAGCAAGCCTCTCCTTCTTAGCAATGATTGAGGCCATCTCTCTCACAAGGTCATGCATACGAAATGTTCTAGCCCTTCCACATGCATTCCTTTCTATGACAGCAAGAAGAGAACGCTGAGTGAGCTCTGTAAGGTAACACTGAGCAACTTCCTCCATTGTTGTTCCATCTCCTCTTTCTTCTACAAGACCTTCCGCAATCCATAACTCAACAAGCATTTTTCTTTTAATCCTGCAGTCTTCAGGAAAGAGGCTGCAATATAGAAAACAACTTCTCAGATAACTTGGGAGATCATTTAAGCTCAGGTTTAGAATATTGGCAATCCAATTGAGCTCTGGATTGTTAGCTAATTGCCAGCCAAGTTGGTTGTAGAACAGTTTCCACTCCTGCTCCTCGAATTCACGGTATGATAGAAGGCTTCCGATGGCTACGATAGCCAGTGGCAATCCTTGACACTTGGTCACAATTTTCTCTGCCCAAGGTCTAAGATTTTCTGGGCACATTTTATCTTCCAATCTACGGAACGCCTTCTTACAGAATAGATGCCATGCTTCAGTATGGGGAAGAGCTTCAAGCTCAACTACACAATTGTGATCTGCTAAGAAAGCAACATCCTTTTTGCGAGTGGTGATCAGTACCCTGCCTCCAAGATTGTTTCTGACAAATGCATAATTCAAGAATAATCAAACATCTTTATCCCATACATCATCCAAGACAATTAGATATTTCCTGCGCTTTAGGTAGATCTGAAGTTCCTCAATTAATTTTATTCGATTCATAGCCTCGACATTACTAGCCAAGTACACCTGTTGGTCCATCAATTGCTTGCTGATTTGCCTTAGCAAGTCTTCAATTTCATAACTCTGGGATAGAGTAATCCAAGCATTGCAAGCAAAGGCCATCATAAATTGTTGGTTTTTAAATATACTGCTTGCTATAGTTGTTTTGCCTACCCCACCCATGCCGAAGATGGACATGACAGATCGATCTTGTCTCTCCTCTAGTACCCACTGTGTCAATCTTCTAGTTACACTAGCATTTCCCACAATTTCAGTGTCGTCAGTTAGATAAGCAGAATCTGATACTGAAAGCTGCCTAGGATACTGACTCATGTTGCTGCTGCTCTTTTCGTCTATGGAAATGCCATACCGATTCCTCATCGCTGATAGCCTCTGAATCCGAGTTTCTACTTGACTTATCTGTCTGGAGATGTTCTGCCAGGCTGCAACATTCTTGGTCTGCTGGAACTTCCTCTTGAAGAAGGTACCTGTATCAATGGCCTGTGCAGCGAGGTAAGCATACTCATCGACGATGTCTTCGACATCATGGGCAACATCTCTAACCTGATCCAACCAGGCATCAAACGTTTTGTCACCAACTTTCTCTGCACTAACCTGACTGATAAATGCTCTCATGATCGTAAATTCACTCTCGATTTGCTTCATGCTGTGCTCAAAATATGTCAAAACTGATGCTGCCTCCACCACCTCTGTGCCCAATTTCACCAAGGCACCTTCTCCCAGGGAGAAAGCGACCTTTCTGAGAACAAGAAATAGGGTATCTGCCATACTTGCTCCACTGCCTAAGAATTATTTACTGTTAGCAGCATATACTGCAACTATATTGTTGAGTAAACTTCCTGATGTCTGCAATCATTTGGAGCAAATTCAAATGAAAGTCACTAATAATAGTATTATTTTTGAGATACAAAAAACAAGTCACGATATCAAAAGGCTTTGCACAAAAGAAAACAGAGGCCATAAACATGGGCAATGATCTCTTACATGTTCCCTGTTATAGAGAAACGCCCCGGGTCTTCCAGCTAGCTCCACAAGGTGGTGGGCTAGATGACCTGGGTTCGAAGCCTCACCACTTCTAATTATTTGATATTAGATCCTTCCCTAATATTCGCGTTTTTTTTCCTGTTATAGATCTTGGTTCCTTTTTTTCCCCTTCTCTGTGGTGATCTTGATTCTTGTATATGGACGACTCAATTTTCTCATATTTCCCCCTGCTCTGAACCTGCCCTGATCCACTGCAGTCAAATGATATTGTCAGCAACTCGTTTTTTCTTTTTTTTTTTGAGAATTGTTAGCAACTCGTTTTTCAAGAGTGGTCATCTATGAAGAAAAGGTAAAAGTTTCTGAAACAAAAAGGAACAGAAGATGAGAAAAGCACAGCAGCAGCAGGCTGCGGCTAGAGCAGAAACAGATTCTGGCTTGCTGTACCTTTCAGTCAGCTGAGAGATGTTGCTAGCAGTAGGGAGTTTGGGTTGGATGAAGAGCAACGAGAAGAGAGAGAGAAATCCACCCAGCAGCCATGGCTCCAGGTTAGATGAGCATCCGAGCTTTGGTCGTAGTGCTGGGGAACTTTGCTTTCTGTTAATACAAGTCCACGAAACTTAGCTGAGGGAAGAAAAGAAAATTTTGTACTACTAGTAGGATGCAGGAGCACAAGTCTACGAAGGTTGCTGACCAAGTAACCATGCACCCACCTATTCTATAAGTTATCATATTTGGGCGTTTTCTTGGCTGGCATTTGGAGTTTTGACTCGTGCAAGTTTGGGTGTAAGAAGCAGGTGACCTCGCTAACTTCTGCTGTAACACGGCGTAGCTCAGCTGAGCGATAGTATATCGTCATCATTAACAGCACAAATAGTAACTCCCTCCACTTTCAAGTATGACATGGTTGATTTGGTGCATGACGTTTAATCAATTTATCTTATTTATTACATAATTTTCTAGACGAATGATCAAATGCCATGTACAAAAGCCCATAATATTGTAGACGAACGATCAAATGCCATGAACAAAAGACTCTGATGTATATTAAAAAAAATCAATAACGCCATATGTTAAAAAACGGAGGTATTATATATCTTCATCATTTACACTGCAGGGCCAACAACCACGGTCCACGAGCTCACGAGACATAACCATAGTTCCTCTCCCAAGTTCCAACTGAAGGAATAAATTAATTACTTCCAATGGAGAAGTAAAATGTTGTCAGCTAAAACGTTGTCATATAAAGTCTCAAAAATTACATTTTATCAAACTGCGTTCAACACTTCTTGGGACTACAAGTGCACGTGGTGCACAGTTCAATAACAGATGTTGCCATTTGAAATTACAACAGTAGTTTCTGACGCATTACACCTCAAAAAATGCTCTATTGTTCATGACATCCCCTATGTCTGAAAAAGAATACATCACCAACCTAGACTAGACCGGAGATGCTAGAGTTGTGATTGGCAAATTACAATTACACCAGGGCAAGCTCTACAAACTTCTGTAGTCAAGAACGGTAACTTCCTCGTCCGGAGCATCAAGGTCATTGTAACTGCAGAAGAATCGTCATCATGGATGGGTTAAGTTGCCGGTTGTAAAATATAGTACAATGGCACAGTAAATCAACATACTATTTTTGCCTCTATGATAATAAAGACAGTATGGTTAAGCCCTCGAGTAGAAGTAATCATATACAAACTAAAGCAAGGTGTAAGGCTTGGTGGCAAGCCCTAGGTGGCCAAATTGTTGGTCAGAATGTGGCATAATCAAGCCAATCCAAGCAAAATAGGAGAATAGACATCATGGAATTCAATGGTATGAATGAATAATTACTAACCTTCGCAAACGGCGAGGATCTTGACGAAAAGATGGAGGCATGGTTATAATTGGCGCAGGACCACCCATCATTGGTCCAAGCACTCCTGGGTTGGCATGAGGAGGTCCGTTTGGTTCAAATGGAGGTGGCGGCCCTTGCTCTCTCAGCATATGCATGGCTATTTCTGGAGGTGCAGGAACAAATGGACCCAAAGGACTGAAAATAAAACCAGCCACGCTCATTAGCAGTCTTTTATACTATCAGAACAAAAATTGAAATCATATCTTCTCACAGCACCTACCCAGCACCAGGAATAGGCATCAAAATTGGCGGAGCGGGAAGTTCAGGAACAAAAGGAGCATTTGGACCTCGCCCACGGAAAGCATCAAACATCTGATCATCAGCGCCATCAAGACTTGGAGAACGATCACCTCTACCATATCTGCTTCCATCTCTCTCTGCCCTATCATATTCTCTACGATTGGCACGGTCATATCTCAGACGATTATCCATACCAGGTCTCTGTCTTGATTTGTCCTGCAAATCAGAAGTATAAATATTTGTCAAGGATTTCAATGAATCCATGTAACTGCAGTTTCCACCTGCACTCAATGTATTTATCCATTAATGATACTTAGAGAAGTGTCAGCTAAATTCTTCAGTAGGGTATTGACCCATCACTAAAAGCTTTAGTCAGATTCCTTCCACTGATTCTGTCCAGGCCTGATCATTCCCTCAAATAAGCCAACCCTCCTTTAACTCTCACGTCACCGGTTAGGCCACATAAGTGACTGTCTGACTGATACCGTATAGTTCATCTAATGTAGGCTTAGCACCTAAAAGGAAAAATCTGTAGAAGGAACAAAGGGGTGGAATGGTATATGGTCCATGTGTACACAAACTAGTAACCAAAAGGCACAGGCATACAAATTATTCTTAAAAGGGAGCTGGGGTTTACTGACAAATGAAAAAGAAACAACCTACAGGAAGCAGCTGGGATAAAAGCAAAAGCAAATTTTATTTGAAGTTCTTTTTTGCAGGGAACTTTTATTCGAAGTTATAATGTAACATGTGTATAGCACATATGTGATATACTGGTATGTAATTATGCATGGAATTCACTTGTAGAATTGTTCTGTTTTATTTAAGCAAGTAATAGAGTATGAGGTTCTTACTGGTGCAGACTGTTGCATAACTGGAGTTCCACCAGGTGCATTAGGATCACTGTTCATAAAGAAACATCCAGATCAGTAACACCTCCTTAAAAAAAAGTAGCACAGGCAGAAAATCATATGTACATACTTCATGTAATTTTGGAAATAGAGATCCTCTCGGACTTTGGAAGTCAACTCTAACACAAGCTCTGGATGCTTCAGCCTCAAATGCTTGTGAACGAACTCAGGAGCATGGAAAAGTTTCGTACAACCCTTAGCTCCACAGCCATATTTCCAACCATATTTTTCATCCCTTATCTTCCTGACATAAGGTTCCAGAACTTCCACAGCTGCTGCATCGATTTTGTCCTTGGCTGCTAATATTACCATGGGGTCCTGACCTCTCAGCCTTTCTTGCCAGAAAGTATCCACCTTCTTTTCCCAGTCAGCGGCATTAATATTGGTTGTATTAGACGTCTTATTGTCTGCTCTGACATGGCGACTGCCTTTTGCTTCATTTGTCTCAGACATGCCATAGTAATCAACACCATGAATACGCCATAAATAGGTAAGAAGAGTATCTAGGAGCTCAACACCTTCAAGGCCTTTGACAGTGGTTAAGCCTCGGATTATAATTATAGGCCCCATAGATCCAATATGAGACTTGTCTACATCTGATTTGTCATGATCGCCACTTGATAGGATATTCCCCACAATACCCTTCTCAGTGTCAAGCTTACGCACAAGGGCTAGAGCTTGTTCAATGTCAACTTGAACCCGTCGAGATTCAGAGCTAACTGGATGAGCCACGGGAGCACCAGAAAGAGGGTCTGTTTCTTTTGAGGAACCCCTGCCATGCTTTCTTCTCTTGTCACTGTCTCCATCATCATCAGAATTTCCATCACTGCCACTTGCTGCAGCCGCAGTTATTCCAGGGCCACTGCTCAGTAAAAAATCAAGGTATAAACAAGAAGTCCAGAAGATCATCATAACACAAGCTGTGCAGATATAACTCACAGGTCCAGAGTTCCATTTTGCAAATCATGAAAGAAATCCTTTGCTGTTGCCTTACAACTATCATTCCTCCTGCATTATATGGAAAAGTTGCAGTTAGACGAAACTACAACATTTATAACTCTAACATAACAGTAGTACTAGGGATTTAAATTGTAATATCTGCAGTTTTGTGATAACTTCGAAATCAAATATGTAGTTTTGTGATACAGCGCCTTAAATCTATACTTTTGTGATAATTTGGTCAAAGCACCTGTAGTTTTCTGAAATTTACTTAACAAAAATGTAAAAGGAGTTAAGATGAGCAGTATAAAGGGTATTGTTCTGCAAGAAAATTTTTTCCACAACATAATAATGTTTATGAATGCATAAGGGAACAGGCTCAATAAAAAGGAATTCAACTCCACCTGTCAATAACAGATGACAAGTTGGTCGGATGGTACTTGTCTTTCAACCTGCAAGTGAAAGCAAATGAAATGTCAGTTAAAGCAAGTGGACCATTTTTGTTCCTAGTTGTGTACAGCTAAATCATTTTGACTTACCGATCATCATTCTTGTTAAGGTCAAAATAAGCACGTTTTTGAGTAGTGATGTACTCTGTCCTGTATTCTTGATACCTTTTTAAACAGACATAGCCCATCAATACTAAAAAGGTAGCACAAAGATATAATCAGTAAGTGTTGTGCATTTACCGTTTCTCAGCTTCAGCAGGTGAAATATCATCCTCAAGAACTTGGATGAACTGTTTGTAAGTCATCAGTCCTTCCCTGAAAAGATGCATAATCATATAAGATAACAGAAATACACTAAGAGAAACTCATGAAACTATATCCCAATCCTCTGCTCAATATGTTAGAACGGTTAGCTCGTCAAAATGAATGGAGGGAACAATATTTGAAAACAAGTTTAAATGTGACAACAGTTCAGATTTCTTTAATCTGCAATAGAAGTTTTCATAAATCTGTTTCAACAGTTCAAAGATCAGTTTAAAAGGTATGCATGTTGAATATTTTTTTACAAATAACAAAAAAGAAGGCAATCCACCTCTCCCTACAGAGATGTCATCTAACATGTGGCCTTCATATGAACTGCCACTCATTACAATGTTTTATGCAAATCGGTCACCAGGAACAACTGCATTGGTCGGGCAAAAGATTCTCCTAATTAAAAAAAATCCTGACCAATAACTAACTAAATATTATCTTCCTTAGCAACATGGTCTACCTTCTCTAACATTTCATGTTCTTCCTAACTAAGACACCTTAAGCACACAATAACACTCAATGATAAATGTAAATGTGACATACACATAACTAGAGGAAACAACTGAATAAACATTTGCTAATTACATGCGTTGCCACCAAAAGTATTATCAGCATAGAATAATTGTTATTTCTTAAAAACTTGAAGAAGTCATTACAACCATGTGATGGTTGATGGGGTATACCAATAACTTCTGCCCATCCATCAGCTGATTCCAATTACTATCTTTCCGCTATTGTTTTTGTCCAAGAAAATTCTAGAATTCCTTCAGATGACAACTACGGGAAGCAAAGATAAGGAGAACGAATCTAATTTCTCAATGCCAGCAACCAAATCCAAGAAAAGACCCTCAGGTTTATTAATAGCATCACTAAAATAAAAGGCTACAATTCAACAGAATACAAAATTGATTAGCAAGCCCAGTATTATAGAGAATTAACACTAAAAACACTAAATTATAATTTTCTAATGAAAAGCCCAAGCATCAACTACTCCTAACAAGCGTGATCATGCTTCAATGATTTCATGTTACATAGGAAGCAATTCATCCATTTCGTTCCTCTGAACAAGTATCATAAATTGATGAACATATTTCAGCAACTAAATAGTGGCAAAAGAAGATATACAAGAGAAGAAAACAAGAATCCCTCACCTTTTTCCTGTTAACAATGTTAACACAATCTAACAGTCTACCATCAATAGGACAAAAATGCATAGTGTTAACATGATAACATCTACTTATGCAAATTAGCATTGGAAGTGTTGTGTTCCATGGAGTTATCAATGTATATTTAAGATAACATGGTATAGAATTAAAAAAAAGAAAGAAAAAGAAATCCACTACTAGAGATTCAAATAAAGCCTCTGAGCCTTTGTTTGTTGTTAACAGATAAAGAATATTCCCATCAGATTCTCCATTTGATTGTATCCAAAAGCATATGCTTCTTATGCCTTCAAGGTGTAGCTGAATATCTGGGTGGTATAGCTTACATATAACTGGGAAGAGTCCTTTTGTGGTGGCACTAACTGTAAATTGAGCTGGCTTGCTGGTGGCTAATAACAGTAACAAGGTTCCGGAGTATGTAGTGCTGCAGTAAAGGATTTCAAGCTGATAGCTTAACTACAGGCTCACAGTTCTCAAAGAATCAGTCAGATTTCAAACATCAAATTTGGAGAATTTTCTGAGAAGATTCTCTATCTGTTAACGATGCCTTACAGCATCTAGCATAGAAGGCTTAATTTGCATTTCCCAATAGTAGTGGCAATTAGCTCCAGTATTGTCGATCGCTACATAGTTACAGTACCCAGGAGACAACATCAAAGTGCCTAACAATCAGAAAGAGTAAACATGGTAAAGGAATAAGTACCTTTGGGTAATTCCAGGACCATCATTGGATGCCCCAAACCCTGAATCGGCCCAATCTGACATTGAAATCGAATTGTCAGAACATATTCACAAGTATCAAGAATCTATGTTCTAAATGAGGAGTGTAAGTGCTAGCTAAAGTAAAAAAAAACAGCCATGCATATACTTTGTCTTCATCCCGACTAGAATGATTCGAAGCAGGAACAAATTAGAAGATAGTGGTAAAATTCTTACTACAACTATAACACACCAAACAAATCAAAGAGCTAATAGCCCTAACACCCAACATCTACAGATCTGAAATCCTGAACCTCCCTGCCATAAATATTTAACATTTAGGACAAGATTTGGTCAAAATTTAAAATTACAACCATCAATTTTGTAGTAGAAATAAGTTTATAAAATCTAATAACTTTTTATATTATGATAGTACTTTTCAAGGAAAATCTATATACAACATTTTATTTTGTTTTAAAACTAAGCATTTGGGAAATTACAGTCGGAATTTTGAAAATTCAACCGAATTTTGTTCTAAACGTCAAATATTTATGACCGCAGGGAGTACATTAGCAAGTGCTAACAAAGCAAGGTTGCTAATGTTTACCAAGTAGAACAGCCCCATGCTGTTCACTTGAATTCAGTAAACTCATACTGACTATGGAGCAAAGGATCTGATAGTTTTCACTAAACTATGTTGTAGATCATCAAAACCAATCTAATTTGGTGGGGAACTAACTACAGGCAAATAATCAATTTCCCTCATACCATTTGGGGTTCGCTCATGCTGTGCTACTCAAACAGCTTACTTCTGAGATCGAAACGAAACTTTGCCCGAGGAGAAGAATCCTCACCTGCTGCGCGATTTTGATACCTGCCATGGTATCGGTCATCATCATACCCACCTCTGCCTCCACCACGCTCGTGGTCATATCCATACCTACCCAACACATCACCCAAGCACACGCGATGAAACCGCAGAGCCTCGAAGAACTAACCACCAATCCAGTACAGATTTCGACCAAATGACCAAGAAGAAACCCCTCACCTCCTGTCGCCGTACCCGTACCGCGGCGGCGGGCTCCCACGGCCGCCACGGCGGTCGTACCCGTCGTCCCGCCGCGACCTCTTGAACGGCGGCGAAGGGGATCTCCTCGACGGGGAGTGGCGGCGGCCACTCCGATACGGCGGGGGGCTGGAACTACCCCCACCCCGGCCACCGCCTCCTCCCCGGTGGTGGTTGTCGCGGTAGCGCTCGGGGCGCGACGAGCCGAGCGGCGGGGGCGGCGGGAGGGAGGGCGGCGGGGGAGGCGGCGGTGGCGAGCGGCTCCGCTTGCGGGTGGCCGCCGGCTGCGGCGGGCCACCGGGGGGCGGGGGCGGGAGCGGCGGCGAGCGGCCCTCCGGGCTGTCGGGCGGAGGCGGCGGCGGGCGGCGCGCGCGGGGGGCCTCGGTGGAGGCGGGGTCGATGACGTCAGCCATGGGGGGGAGCGTCGCGGTGGGGTTAGGGTTTGGGAGTGAGGAAGCGAATCGCGCACAGCTTGAGGAGGGGGGAGAGAGAGAGGGTAGGCTAGGCTGCGGGCTGCGGCGCACGAGGCGGTAGCGGCAAGGGAAGGAAGCGTCTAGAAAAAAAGTGTGAAACGGCGTATGGGACACGTGCACGGCTGCTGATCGGGTTCCCTGTTTGTGTGTAGCCCTATCATAGGATATACGGACACACATTTAAATTATTAAACATCATATTATACATATAAACTGTGAGACGTTTTTATTAAGCCTAATTAATTCGTCATTAGCAAATGTTTACTGTATGACCACATTGGCCGTGTTCACTTGAGCTACATATTGCAGCTGTTGAACTGCTGTTGGCTATATCAACAGTACTAGCAGCACAAAATTTACTGCTAGTGCTGTAGTTGTTGTGCTGTGAAGCTGAAGCCACGGCAATCTCATCCGAACCCACCCATTGTCAAATCATGGCGCGATTAGGCTTAAAAGATTCGTATTGTATTTACATAATCTGTGTAGTTATTTTTTTTTTCTATATTTAATACTCCATGCATGTATTCAAACATTCGATATGATAAGGTGAAAAGTTTTTACGTAAAAACTAATCAGGGCTTAATTCGTCCCATCGTATTATTTTACTTTTTAAATTAAGATTCATCTCGTATTGTTTTACTTTTAAAATTAAGATTCATCTCGTAGTACTCCCTCGATACCATAAGACTCGACTATATGATTATTAAGGGACTTGTGGAAGATTTAAAATAAACCAAATACAAAGAATTAAGAAGTGATAGTTAATGTATGTATGCATGTACATTATATTATGAGATATAAGAAAAAAATGATTATGTCTTACTCTCATAACAGTAGTATATTTTAGGATATAGAAAGTAGTACTTCTGCTTTTTTGATATTTTTTTCTTCAACAAAGCAATCTCTTTATCCCATAATATAAATAATATAAGACAATCATACTTAACATAATCTTTATTAGTTTAATACTAATGTTTGGCTTATAATTTCTCGTATGCTATAACAAAACTATAGCAATATAAAAGTAAATTTGAGTGACAATCAAATAATATCATTTTCAACAAATAAAATGTATATTTATATTATACTAATTATTAGTTAGATGTTTTAAAAGTTAAATATTAAAATACTTATGCGTCTTATATTATAGAATGGAGAAAGTAACTTTTTTTAATTTCTTTTTTCTTCAACAAAGTAAACAAACACACCCGGGATCGCTCTTGTTTCTCGCAAGTATCTTTATATCCAAATAACCGAACGGCATCTTGAACGACAAAGGGGGACCTCTTCAAGGGGTATTCTTCAAAGTGGATTTGAGTATTTTCTCCGGTAAACTTTTACTATCATTTGATCAACGATTTTTCACGAGAATTGAACTGGTTCGTGTAAAATTATTTCGTTCCAAAGGAGCCCTTTATATTTTTGGAAACTTCCAACGGTTGGCCAGCAAAACGGTAACAAACGAAACAGCTGTATGGGATAAATCAATTTTGAGATAAATATAAATAACTACAAGACACAAGTAAAATATTCACTTCATCACCTTCTCTGTTCTCACTTCCACCCAAGAGTCTAACAAGAAATAAAATTGCTACGGCCATAATGACCGGAAGCATGATTTTTCATGGCTTACAACATATGCAGAACAACATTCAAACCCTAAATGATGGTAAAGAAATGGCCTAGGTACCTAACAGGTTCTCATCAAGTTATAGTACAGACAGTTAAACTACATGGATATAATGCCGGCATGATGTTCGCGATCCTCCACAAGACAAACATCGCTATACTCACGTTGATGATTCGTGGCCATTGACAGTGGCTGGTGCAGGAATTTCTTGCTCGGTGGTAGGTGCTGCAGCACTTCCATTCTGTGGAGGAAAAGTAGCAGAAGCTTCAAAAATTGATTTGTTTGAAATATCAAGGCATATTGAAGAAGCTACAGAGACCGGAAAAGAGAATTTGTTGGTTGTAACAGGATACAGAAACTTTTAGGACATTATACTTGATGCCTGAAATGGGCCATAACTTAGGCTGTTTCTTTCGAGGAATCAATCACATATCGAGGGATGAGGTGGTTATGGACCAACACATTCCATTCCTCGAACCGAACAAAAAAGTGAGACTTGGGAGTATCTGATGGTCCATTGGCCATCCAATTCCTCAAAACAAAACAACCCCTAAAATTCTTAAATGGCCACATCATTATAAGCCATACTGCCGTCAGAAACAAATGTAAACTACAGTATATTGATGCTGAAGCTAGCCTCAGGCTGCCAGTGCAAATAAAGGAAAACAAGTTCATATTTAACCGGCAGTAAACAAAAGCCACAGTTATAGGACAGCTTTCATATTTTGAATACCAAGGAGAGAAGAAAATAACATGCAAAGATGCCCAACCGTCAGCATTAAATCTTCCCATAGCTAAACCAATTATGTGTCATGATTTTAAGTTTACAACTATGGATTGAAAGTCAACCAGTCACACCAGTGACCAGTATAACAGGAAACAATATCAGTATATCACACTATCTAATATCCTCAAATTTAGAATGGAATAGCTAGAGCCACAGTTTTTTAATCCCCTGGCAATGGACCATAACTTGATTTACCTTCATAAAAGTTAAGAAAATATTGAGAAGCCATTGTGGACCAATATTTTGATTAATTTCTCCAAAATTTTCAGCAACTGCTTAAAAATGGCTACAATCATCAGTAAGCTAGATAACGAAACAAGGATTCAACTCATCTGAGCCAAAGAGTCATTTCACTTTCAACTTATTGTGAAAATTAGAATCCTCAAAAAGTATGTAAATAGATGTGCAGCTAATGGGGGAAAATGACTTACACCATCATTAACTGATGCCACAACTTGAATAGGTGTGGGAGGTGCTTTTGATAGGTCCCTCAACATCCCCTACAAAAAAAAAAAAGAGATTTGTTTTTAGTAGAAAAACAGAGATTCCACATTTATGAGGTAAGGTGTCAAAAATTTAAAGATAAGATCTAAGTACTTTGATCACTTGATGTATGGATTACTAAAAACAAACAGAAAGAGAAAGCAATGTGAAGCATAGTTTAAAAGACCCATGCTTTCAGTGTAAGTGTATAACAGACCATTTATGGATTTGGATTATGGATTACCAACAATTTCCTGTGTTTGTCAACAAATAAAGTTTAAAACTCTTATTGCCAATTAACAAAATGCTCAGCTATGAAACTTTCCATGCACCAGGAAGCACATCAGATTGTTAAGACTAATATTAATGATAGTGTGAAACTTGTTCAAGAACAGACAGAACTCACTAAATAGATTACATATTCAAACATCAGCACCATGCATCTAACTTCATTGCATTGGATTGTATACTAGAAACTTCAACAAAACTCATCCCAACAACCTATACTCAAATAACAAACTGCATACCAAGTTGGCATGACACCTTGAACTTGGCATTTTAACCTTCAATTGCATATATAGATATACATAGAAATAAGTCAAGACAAGTGTGAGTAACTGGTGCTTTAAATATGTCACGATAATAGCTTATAAAGTGCAAATTAATAATGTAACTTAAACAATTTCAACAAAAATGATCCTAGCAAAAAATTGCTGATAGAATCTTAATATTAAGTCGGTCTTCAGTTCTTAGAAGTTATAATATTTTGCTACATCTATGATCTATCACAAAGTTTGACTTATAAGTTATAACTCTTGAGTTTCTATGCTGACTTAAATCTAGCTATGCAATGGTACTACTAAACATTTATAGGTACCTTGTTTGCCCACATGAGGCCACAGGCATTGCATAATGTTCTTGGCCCATCAGGTCCACGACGCATCATAGGTGTAGCCTTTGCATTTATACCACAGTGATGGCATCTGAAAAAAAAATAGCAATCACCAAAATTTATAAATGATGTTTCATATGCTTAGAGAAACCACAATGATAAAAAGGTAGTAATAACCTGGCATACACCATACAAAAAAGAAGCATATTTGCATGTATGATAAGTATAACAAAGATATCTATATCAAACTTACATGCAAATTGTTCAACTAAAGTTAGCCAAGTAAAAAATGGGATTGATCCACAGTTCATAGCATCTATACAATGCAATACACTAGAGCACACGATTCCAAGCATGGATTGATTGTCAACACCTTGCTAATAAATATGTAAAGGATGTTTCACACATCAAGAAATATTGCTGGAAAAGTCATAAACCAAGAACCAAAAAAAATGGGATTTTTCTCTACTTACTCAGCAGCAGAGGGAGGCCGACCTTCCACTGATCCCCAGTTTGGGGAGCCATCTGAAGCTGTCAATTCCGATGTTGCTTCATCACCCTTTGGTTTTGAAGATGTAAACTGACCTCTATTGCGCTGCATCCTACACATACATAGAAAATATTTTAAACTATGAAGATTTCCTGTACATAATCTAAGCAGAGGTAATTTAGAAAACATGAATAACAGCAAAATATAAATCCTACTATCTGCCACGGTAATATCAAAACTGAAAGTAACCACAAGAAAGACACTGATACTTAAAAAGGTACTACCTCCGTTTCATATTATAAGTCGCTTTGACACTGATACTTTGATCTTTAAGTTTGACTAAGTTTATATAAAAATATAGCAATATTTTCAACACAAAACAAACTTATTATCAAAATATTGTAAATGTTAGTTCTAACAAAACTAATTTGGTGTTGTACATGTTGCTAAATTTGTCTATAAACTTGGTTAAACTTGAAGAAGTTTGACTACGAAAAAAGTCAGAACGACTTACAATATGAAACAGAGGGAGAATAGCTTAATAAAAGCAGCCAGACAACTCAAAACTAAAACACGCTTTTGGTACAAATACAATGTATAAGTTGCCAAGTTTAGATTATATTATTCAGTTCACTTCCACTATATTAAGTACATTGTTAGCAGAGTGTATTACTCACAGATCAAATACAGCACGCTTGACTCTTCCTAATTCAGGTCAATCAGCATTCAAATAGGAACAAAATTCTATAGCATTTCAGTACGTATAAACATCCACAGCCAATGCTAAGCTAGCACCAACCTAAGTGCAACTTCCTTCCGAACAGAATACCGGATCTTCTTATCAAAGTTGCGCTCCTTCCGCTTTTCTCTGAACCGCATCAAAGATGCCACCCGGTGTGGAAAATTCAACCTCTGAAACCAAGGGAAAAAAAATACACAATGAACTCCAGAGTGCACAATCCTGTCAAACATAATGAACTGATACTACAAAGAAAGACAGTTCACCATCACCCGTGCCAACCTTACTGTATGGCGCAGATGACGATGCTCCAGAGCCCAAACCTGGGTTCAGCTCCCTTCCACCGAGTAGCAAGAGCACTGCTTGAACCTGCGAGAAGTAATCGAACACTCAGCCTTTTTTTTTTTGCAACATCAATCCCAGTCTATACCGAAACACACATGACAAACAAACAAGGCCAAGCGCATGAGAGGCAAACGACCTTGTCAGGGGAGACAGAGTCGAAGACGTAGACCTCGCCCTGGAACGAGAGGGTGAGTTGGTTGGACGCCATGGGCTGGACAGCGCCGGAGGCGGCGAGCATCCCGCCGTGCGGGTCCAGCTGCGCGGCGGCCTCCGCGTCCATCGGGACAGCCACCTCGCCGCCCACCCCCTCATGATGTTGCGCGTCCTCATCCTCCTCCATCTCCTCCTCCTCCTCCTCCAACTCATCCTCCTCCTCCTCATACTCCTCCTCCGCCCCCAGGGCGCGGTGCTCCTCCTCGAAGCGGGCCATCGCCTCGGCCTCGGCGGCCACCGCGGCGAGGTGGTCGACCGTGGGCGCGACGTGCGCCGCCGCATCGTCCGCCGGGGCCGGAGGAGGGGGGCGCTCGGGGCCCCGGCGTGGCTGGTAGGGCTTGCTGCCGTCGTGGTGGGACATGGCGGAGGTTGGGGGTTTGGGTGGGATCGGATCGGACGATGGGGATGCGGGGTGGGTAGAGGTGGCCAAACGGGCGGCCCGGCCCGGCACGGCACGGGCACGGGTCCGGCACGGCCCGTTTCGGCACGGCCCGTTAGGCATGGCTCATGAAACGGGCCGTGCCGTCCCGACCCACGTGCCGAGCCGCCGGCCCAAGCACGGCCCGTGGATGGCCGGGCCGTGCCCGTGCCGGCACGGCATGCGTGTGGCCCGCCGTGTCAGTACGGGCCCGTGAATGAAAAATGGGCCGTGGACGGGGCACGGTTGGCCCAGGAACCGAAATGGCGCGGAGGGATGCGATGCGGACTTGCGGAGGTGGCTGGCGGGCTGGGCCATCAGCTAGGAGGGGTGCTCAACGGACTTGCGGAGGCGGCTAGCGGGCTGGGCCGTCAGTTGGGAGGGATGAGATACGGACTTGCGGAAGGATGAGATGCGGACTTACTACAGTAGCCGTGCCGTGCCGTGCCGGCCCGCGGGCTCGGCCGGCGGCCCAAGCACGGCACGGCTACTCGTGCTGTGCCGGCACGGCCCGTTACTGTAGCAGGCCGTGCCGGGCCGTGCCGGCTACAGGTTCCGCCGTGCCTCGGGCCGCCCGTTTTGGCCCGGCCCGTTTGGCCACCTCTAGGGGTGGGAGAGAACCCTAGCCCCTAGGATTTCGATCTCCTGCTTTCCGGTTTGGAGGGTGGAAATGGACACGAGGAGGGAGACGGGTGACGGCCTGACGGGTGAGGGGAGAGCGTAGGACTATAGGAGGGTGATGTGGCAGCATCACAGCCGTCTGATCTGCTACCCCCTGTATATCTATCCCTCTGTTTTCAATCTCCTTACACTTTCAGACCAAAAGCGAATTATGATATTGCTTCTCGTAAATCGTTATAAATATACTAACGTTTTAAGCTTGTGGTATGAAGTAGGGTTTAACTTTTCAATTTCGAAGTAAAAATCGATTCTCACCGGTGTACCGAAATCCAACCAAAATTTGGTAAAAACCGACGACTTTCGGTTAGCGTCATACGAAAACCGGCTAATATCACCCGGTTTTCAGCAATCTTAAAAATTTACAGGATTAAGAGTAAATTGATAAATATAACTGACAAAAATAAAAGAAAAAAAACAACAGGGTCAGTAATTTCCATAAGACAATCATAGCATCCATAACAACAAGCTGAACAGATTCGCAAGAAAAAAAAACCTAATGAAAGAACCAACTTTTTCCGCTGAAATGTTCAGCCCTATGAAAGATTTTTCAGTCAACTTTCAGCTCATGTTGATGCAAACCATCTTCTCATGTTGCTGTAACAAGAAAAATTAAAGATCACCGTGACGGCATGACCCACGAAAAACTAAGGGGTTGTTTGACTCATATACTAACATTGCATAGGGTTGTCATAGTTTTCTTGCCAAGTTTGTCTAAGGTTAGGCCAACAAATTTGGCACGACACTTCGGCTAGTAATCCACAACCTTGCTACATTTTCCTGAGACAATGACGCGTGGGACCAAAGTGCTAGAAAAAAAATCTAGCCACAAGTGTGGCAATGAACCAAATGCATGACTAACTTATTCAAAAAGCTTCCTTAAGTTGAGGTGTGGCAATATTTGGTCATGAACCAAACAACCCCTAAAGACCTATGAAAGATTTTCCGTTCAACTTTTCACGGTTCAAACAACTATGTTGCTGCGAAGTGCAAACCATCTCCTTTCCATGCAAAAAAGAGGACTTTAGAGTCACTGATACGTTGGTCCATAGCAAAGAAAACTCACATGTCAGTGACTTAGGTGACTTAATTTGAACACGAAATGCATGCTGCCTCCCCAGGGCCAGAGCCGAACAAGCATCATATAGTAGAAAACTTAAAAGAAGAAAAAAATAAATCATCTGCCATAATTACGAAAATTAAGTCATTCAACGCCAACAAATTGTCGAGACGACCATTCAGAAGAGTTGAATTGTCCGCACTTTAAAATTCAGACGAGAAAAGGCAACATATATGTAAACACCGTACTAGAATTTTTTTTTCGGTTTTGTTCTCCCAGTTTTGAGTCAGTCATTTGAAATTTTAGATCTCAATTGCTGTACACAACGATAAAAGCAACACAAGAATCATACTAGTTGATCAGGACTTGAAGATGAAGATGAAGGACTGAGGAGTGAGGACTACTCTCGCCGCATCCACCGCGTTGATCTCTCTCCAGATAAGATGCTCTCCGGCCGGTGAGGGGACCTCCACCGCACATCTCCTCCCAGCCTCCAACTCATCCCCGCGCAAACTGGATGTGGGCACTGGGCAGTGCCTCTAGATCTGCAAGGGCGGCTCCAGGAAGGGGATCTGGCGGTGGTCGTTGGGCACCTCCTCCTGGTCTCCACCACATCCGTGGCAGCGTCTTGGGGCGATGCCTTACTACTTCTTCGTCAGCGCCGATACCCCTTCCCGGCCTCGTACGTGCAACCAGGTTGGTGGAGGCAGCCGATGGCACTAGGGAAGAAGGTCAATAGAGGGCATCATCGTTGACACATTGTAGCTCCCATATCATTGTGGCCTTCTGGGTGGGTGTCAGCGGGTGGTGTGGCGCGCGTGGATGACTGGTGACAGCGGTTGCTGACGAAGGAATGGGGTTCGGCTGAACAGGGATTTCGATCGACCGGGAGTGGGGGAACGCTACTAGTGCCAATGCGAATGAAAATGCCGCCTGGGAATAACATTAAAAAAATTACAAATATACCTTTTTTTGAATTTATACCGCAAAAATCAAGTGGAACATCAAATCAATATATATTGTTATATCGTTTATACTGCTAATATATACTAGTACTTGCTATATGGTGTATTTCTCGTAAAAAGTTATCGTCATTCAAACTTTAAAGAACGACGCACATTGATGTCAACTTTCACCCCATATCATGGATGTTCCCTGGAAGGAAAAATTCAATAGGGATTGGATCGACCATTCATTCGACCTGGAAGGCTGGAACACATGAAGCCATTCCAGTAGAAAAATTAACTCTCCAAATCTTCCATCTGAGCAACCAGTACTCCACTCAGACACATTGTGTGTGTTCAGTATGGGTAAGCCCATTCTATCATGAGGATACAACAAGGCCCAATAAAGGGATAGGCATATACTATAGCAATGCACTTCACAGAGTGCGCCTCAAATTGTTTGGTCCGTCATGACTAGCAGTGGCAGTAAGCGGCGACGTGATGTACTAGTGGCTGACGGCGCCGGTACCAGTGCCAGAGAAGATGAGTAGGGGAATGCGAGAGAAGGATGCGAGAGAAGGGAATGTGAGAGAAATGAGTTGTGCGCTGTGTTGCTCAGCCAGGAGAGAAGGGAATGCGAGAGAAAACGAGTTGTGCGCTGTGTTGCTCAGCCAGGAGAGAAGGGAATGCGAGAGAAGATGAGTTGTGCACTGTGTTGCTGTCACGCTCAGAAATTCCCGAGTAGAATTCCAAGCAGAATGTGCATTAAAATCCCCGTCCAGGACCGGCCGGGGTACACAAACGACAATGTTGACATTCAGATCCATGTCTTACAAACATCATAAAAGTCTTACACAAATGCAGCGGAAGAAAAGAAAGACAACAGGAGCTAAGCCTTGACTAGAACTGCAGCGGGAACACCACTCCACAGGCATCCTCGACGGCACGGACGAAGCCTACTCCTCGGAGAAACCTTCATCTGACACATACTCGAGCTCTGGGGTTGGGAAAAAATAGAGCAAGACTGAGTACTACCCACTGTACTCAGCAAGTCATACCGGAATAGGGGTATGATGCAGGGAATTATCAAAGAAGAGCTGGAGTGGTTCATTTGCATAAAGCGAGCATTTATAAACAGAAGTTGAAAGATTTAAACAGTTGTAATAATTAATCAATATTAACTATCCACTGTCCAACGCTATCCCACGTTGCAACAGGCCCAACCATCCACCTAAACTATCCAATTTCAAAAGATTACACTAGGGTAAGATTAATCACGGTGAATCTGGTTGACCGCCCATAACCGCGGGCACGACTATTCGAATATTTTTACTCTGATCAGAGGTGTACAACTGTACCCACAAGACACAGCCCCACGACACGTTTCCGTGCGCCGACATGCCACCACGACATACCGGAAAGAGGCCATGACAGGACCCTTCGCATAACCCCCTCTAACCAAGCACACCACACCTCAGGTTTCACCCCCACTCCTCGCAAAGCAGCGGGCAGTCCCCTCTCATGCCTAGGTGAATCCGGAAGCCGCATAGGCCGTCGCAGGGCCCATCCAAACTCCATCACGCCCACCCTTGCCTGGATGCGTCGGCTAGAGGAAAGCTACGCTACAAGCCCAGCCGTTGCCCACGCTGGCTTGTGGTAAGTACGATAAGTTCTTCCAGGGCATCCCGCGAACCGGTCCTTAACTGCCATGGGTGCGACCAGCGAAACCATGCACCCACAGCCCACCATGTGATTTATTTTAATTAACTAACACCAAAGCGGTGGCACTAATCCAACAAAACCATTAGAACCAACAGTCTAAACATTAATAGGATTTTCCCCATTGTGAACTAGTTGAACTAAGCATGGCTAAGCAATCCCTAGCCCAATCTCTAGTCATGTTATGACCCCAAGTTGACAAAGGGACATGGTACAACAATAGCATGGTTATGACAATAGGTAAACACCCCATAGTAACATTATAAAACAATGCAATATTTGAAGGAAAACAATAGAGCATTTGCAATATAGGATCAACATGTTCAAGTGACAAGCATGACTTGCCTTGCTCTGCTGCTGGAGGAACCTCGGCGACTATTTCGAAGTACACCGGAGCGTCGGAGGAAACGGAATCTAGCGACATACAAGGCAAACAATGCAAACAGGCTATAAGACTACTGAAACAGGGAACAAAACCATTTTTAATGGATTCTACATATTTTTCTTGATTTACTGAGACTTGAATGGGCTTAAACGGAGCTCGGATGAATTAGTTATGAATTTTAGAAGATTCACCATGTTTATTACTATAACAAA